CGTTTTTTCAAATGGTCAAAAATAAATTGATAAGAAAAAATATTAATTTTGTTATACAGGGTGATCAGAAACAAATGAACCATACTTAAAAGGGAGAAATAAATCTGATTTAAATAAAATTACCTCAGTACAATTTTTGTACCTTAAAAAGTTACAAGAATTTAGTTTTATAGGAAACTTTAAGATATCTCAGTAAGACTTGGTATGGGAGGAGGACCCGACATTATAAGGCGAAATCTTTATTGCTGACCTTGCTGAAATATGAGATAGAATCTACAATATCTCTTGGTTGGATGTAAAAATATAATTTTAATTTGTAATATGGTAAGAAAAATACCTTAACAATATACGAAATAATATTGAACTGTTTTATTAATAAATAACCCAAAATCTTAATCTAAAATAGTACAAATAATTCAATGCCTGTAGTGTTTTGATATAAATAACAGCAAAATTTTATAAAAATGTTGGTAGGAAGAGGAATATTTAGAAACATCAAACCTTAATTTGAGATATTTTTAGCGGTTTAGGAGAAAAATAAGTTAATGTTCATATTCGGCCACTCATAAAATTTTATATGTACATCAAAATTGACGGAAATATTTTAAAATGTAAAGGTGTTTGAAAAAAATTAAAGTGTTTTTGAAACACTGTACGGAAACAAAGTTGTATTAAGATAGATAAATTTTCATCCAACGGCCATAATATCGATAACTTATTCATTTCCAAGATACAGGGTGTATATAAAATAAAATAATTTATTAGTTTTTTCCAATATTTGGACTACGAAAAATACCTTTGCTTGTAATTGCTAAAGTTTATAGTTTTATGGTAAACCTAGATTTTTTATGTCAATCTAATTTCATCCAAAATCATAATTATCAAACAAGTTGAATATTTTTAATATTTATTCTTAATATTATTAAATTATTAATTATTTTATTGAGCGTTATGTTGTTTGTGTTATTTATTTTCTTTCGTTATGAACATTTTCAATAAAAAGTGTATTTTTAACCTATTTTCTATTTCTAATCTATTATTTCAATAATAACTAATTTAATAACGGAAATAATTATAATTTACATTTTTTATGAAATTTAATTTGCTGAAATTTCAACTTTTTAAATTAACTTTTCCATTTGAAATATTCAAACGTTGAAAAAATAATTTATCAAATATCCACTTTTTGTATATTGCAGTAGTACAATATATACAGGGTGGTCCCGAAGTATTGGGCCAATATTCATGGATAGATTCCCCAAATTACCTTACCTTAGATTACCTTAGTCCAAAAGTTGATAGTTGATAGTTAAGGAGATACAGGGTGTTAAATATAAAATATTATTTCAATTTTTTTTTCATTTATTCCTTAACAAATGCAAATATCCTCACAAAATTTTGGGGTTCGGAGTTCTTTGGGTAGAGGAACTGAAATCTGTTCAAATTTTGGTTAAAGTTCATAGAGGGCGCTAGCTGCAGTAGATTGAATGTGTTAAAAACGACAACTTTTTTGTACTTTGAGGTATTTTCCAACTTTTTTTGCACAAAAAAGGTATACTTTATGAAAATAACTATCTCGCACCGTTTTCGAGATATTTGGCTTTGAAACTTCCAGTGCTATTGCATTAAATTATTATTAATCTAGCGGTAAAGTTTCTTAAGTAGGATTTGGACGAAAATCAAATAATTGACGTTTTACACTTGCCTTATTGTCATTTGTATGCTCATTTCTATTAAGTATTATTTGCACCTAATTAAAAATGCATCTTATCTTACAATTTAAATCGTATACTCGTATACATAAATGTGATAGAATGCCGAGATTTTCGTTTTTTGGAGTTACATGAAGTCAGTTGTTTATGGAGAAACTATAAACACCTGAAACGAAGTTTAGCAGCAGGTTTTAAATGCTGCAAAGTCATTTCGCGTTAAGGATTTATACTTAAAAATAAGACAGTCTTTTAATAAGCGCATTGATAAGTGTATTGAAGTTAGAGGTGGATATTTTAAGCAATTATTGTCAAAAAGGACATTTTTTACTAATGTTTACTATTTTACTGTTCATTACAATTTTTAATTATAAATAAACTTTTGTTTTTGACATTTCTAAATTATTTTAATTATTTCAAGTATTAGCATTGGAAGTTGAAAAGCCAAATATCTCGGTGCGAGACAGCTAGTTTTATAAAGTTTACCTTTTTTTGTGTAAAAAAAACTTGGAAAATAAGAATTTGATACCAAAGATTAGATACTTTAAAGTACAAAAAAGTTATGTCGCTTTCAACATATTCAATCTACGGCAGCTGGCACCCTCTATGAAGTATAACCAAAATGTGAACATATTTCAATTCATCTACCTAAAGAACCCCAAACACCAAAATTGTATGTAGATATTTGCATTTATTAAGGAATAAATGAAAATAAACTAAAATAATATTTTACATTTAAGACCCTGTAACTATCAATTTTTGAACTAAGGTAAGTTCGGCTAAATCGCAATATTTTTGCTTCGGGAATCTACTCATGAATTTTGGCCCATTACCTCGGGACCACCCTGTATACAGGGTGATTCAGAACTTATCCAAACACAAATTGGATGTACAGGGGACTCCTACAAATACAGTTTTGTAAAAAAAATCAAAAGGGGCCGTTCGAAAATGATTTAAAAATACACTTCTGCATGGCACTGAAAACTGGTCCACTGTAAAAGCTGACTTTACACAAGGCGAAATGTAATAAAAAAGGGACAAAAACTTGAAAGAATTTCGCAAGGAAAGAAATAAATAGAATTCAAATTCAACTGCTTTTGCCGCTATTGTTATTATTAATGAATGAAATTAATTTGTGGTTTTACTTAATAAAATAATTTGACATAGGTACTTGATGGTAGAACAACTATTCAAAATTTTGTCCATCTACGTGTAAACACATTTGCCACAGCAATCAACATGTTTTCATCGCCTACTAATCTCAAAATTTTAAATCCGCGATACTGTTAAGCTAACCGAAACGCACAGACCTGAAAATAATGCCAATTTTCTCAAGAATGGCTTTCTCTAGGCGATTTTGTCAAGGGACAATATTTTTTTTAAATAAAACATTTTCAATATTGCTGACCATTTTAAAAAATACGACCATTATAAAAGTTTTGACCGCTAAAAGGGAGAGGTAACCGAAGAAAACTATCACCCAGTATATCGATTCGAGTAAAGCTTTAATAAATAATACGCTATAATAGTACAAATAAATGTGCCAAATTTTAACGCGATCGGTAAAAGGGTGAAGTTATTAATTAAATTAGTTTTATTTTGGACAACTTTGAAGGTCTATAACTCAAAAACCAAAAAGTTTTTATTTAACTTTTTTCTTTCAGTCAAACGTTGTTGGTAAAATTTGCAGACACCCTGTATTTTCCATCCAACCTAAACACCCTGTATATCAGAAACACTTAAGTTTTCAATATATATGTATATAATCTTATTTTTTACATGTTCTACTGTAATTTTATTAATTTTTTGTGCATTGTGAATGGACTGTATTTATCTCCTATAGACATATTGAATAATATTCATTTTATCTACAAAGCAGTTCCATATTTTTACTCGGAATCGGTCGGTTCAAATTATCTAAAACAGGAAGCTCACACCGCATCCTTTAACATGCAAAACGAAACAAGCTTATCAATATACCTAACCGCGTTTACCAAACTGATACGTTTCAAATCAACAGACTATTCGCGCGATTACAACTTTTGTACGTGTATAAAAGTAGTAACTACTTAATACTCCACGCATGGCCGTGCAGTAAGTTTAAATGCAGCCTCGATATTGCCGAATGATAATATTTTTAAGCGTCATAAATAATGGAACGACTTATTTTCCCTCCAGTCACACCCACCGCTAATTAAATCCGTTAATTAAAATCTTACAAGTCTGGCTCGTTCCTCTTCCTCGTACGTATCTTCGGCGGATATTTTACTTAATATTCTCGTCCAAGCACCGTTTCAATAAAACGAATGGCGTTTCTTGTTCTGTGCGAGCAACGTGTAATGTAAACGGATATTAATTCAATAGACCACGAATGAATAGGACATAAGAATAAAAATGGTCTACCATATACTTGTAAAAATCTGAATGTAAACGGTCGACGAAGCGGCTTCCAATAAAAACCACCCACCTTATACGTATGACAAACAGGCCATAGCGTATGTGTTTGAGCTCGGAAGTGCTTGGAATACAAATCCGACGGCGGTTATCTTTACATCTCGGTGCGACGGCGGTCCTTACTTTGGAATTATTATTTTATTAGCTGAAAGGGATATAATTACGTGTAAAAACGAATAAAGTACACAGAGTATCGGCGTGTTCAGCGCGAACAGTAATCGCGAATCTGGCACTTGCCCTCGCGATAATGCCAGTCACGTTCGGGATATGTGCGATGCCGTCGGCACTAAATAATAGTAATATCTGCAACTCGGGGTCGTAAAACTTATGGTTAAATGGCTTGCAGTGGTTGAACCAGTGGCACCGGGCCGCCGTCTCCGCTGCTGCAGTGCTCCGCAGTCTGTCTGAGTGCACTGCGCCCGCCACCCCCGCCGCAATGCACCACGTGCTCGGCCGCCACTCACTCGTGATAGTTCAGTGCTGCGGCCGGCGACGCGAGAACATCGTCGACGCGGTCGTGGAGGTGGTGCCCGCGTGCTTTCATTCTTTCACCTCCCATTCATATTTCATAACGAGGTCAACTATCAGGTGCAAGCGAGCGCCCGAGCAGAATATCGAAATTACCTGCAGCTATCGGGTATCGATTCAGTCCTCGACAACTACACACGTTCGTGTGCCGCCTTCAATTATACTTTCCGTTCGGGCCCTTCAGCAACGTCAGGGAGTGGCCGGGTTTCTCTGAAATGTAATACAAATACACGGCTAATAACTTGGCGCTTCTAGTATTAAGGCGAACCTGCTTTTCCACCGCATAAACAAGTTTTTCTTTGCTTTCAGGTTGCAGCCGGTGTTAAAGGAATCCATTCACGCTGCATTTCAACGTCCTGCGTCCCTCGGAGCATGCAAACGGCTCGAAAGGCCCAGCCACAGCGTCCGAAGGATCCGCGGCCCTCTGCCGCCTCGCGCTAATGACTATGGCCGAGACCGCCGTTGAGTCCTCCACCACCGCCGTCGCCACGCACGACAAAACGAACAACAACCACCCGCTTGTCGTCAACCACAACCATCGTCCAGTCGCCAAACAACGTAAGCGCAAAAGACTCAGTCAGGTACTCGACAAACTCACCGGCGGAGGCTCCCAGCCGCTTGACGTGGATTCGGTCCAAGAGATTCCAGTTATCAATAACAACGTCCAGAATCTGTACAATAATAACAAAGGCGACAGTTTGGGTAACGATGTACTAAAGCACCCCAAACAGTACATGTCGGAGGTATTCAAGTTCGATATTCCCGAGAGAGACAGGTCCAAGACGGCCAGCAGTGCCGCGGGTGCCAGCGAGGATGAGGACGTGTTTAGTCCGGCGAGCTCCAGTAACAAGTCGCCTCACAGTTCAACTGAATCTCCTAGAATAAGCTTTAGCCCTTTGCGACTCAAGGAGGATGACGCGAGTTCGAGTCCCCCTCTGCTCCAGAGACCGCCGGTGTGTTCCTGTTATCAGTGCGTCACCGGAGTCGGAGTCGGTCACCATCCGCATCCGCTACATCCTTACGATCGATTTTTTCCCGCCTCTCCAATTTCCCCTTTGACCCCCGCCTCCCCCGCTCCTTCCTACAGTTTCGAACGTTACCTTCACTCAAAGTACCTGCCCGATATCTTTCGCCGAAGAAGTCACTCCGACTCCGACCTGCCGCTGTGGTTCGAAACTGCCAAGGCGGAACGGGCACGCGCTCCCCCCGCTTGGCCCCACCCTCTCACCTTCTCCACGTTGCCAGGTAAAGGATCCGTCGAATCGGAGACGTCGTCTCCACAAGAATCTCCTTTGGATCTCTCGATGAAGACTTCCAGATCGAAAGAACATCTAACGAGTTTAGAGTGTTTAGTCCCGCCTCCGTTACAATTGCTGCCCCCGGGGTTCTTGCCACCTCGCGGTCCAGTGTCAGTACCTGTCGTTAAGGGGGACGTCGCGTCTCCCACTACTAAAGAATCCGTAGCCTCGCGGTACAACCTGGAGGTTTCGCCCGTCGTCGAAGAGATGCCTCCCGGTTCCGACGTGGCATACGTCTGTCCGGTGTGCGGGCAGATGTTCAGCCTCCACGACCGCCTGGCGAAACACATGGCTTCTAGGCACAAGAGCAGACAAAATTCTGGTGAAACCACGGCGAAGGCGTACCTGTGCGAGGTTTGCAAGAGATCTTTTGCTCGCAGTGACATGCTAACTAGACATATGAGACTACACACGGGTGTCAAACCGTATACGTGCCGCGTTTGCGGTCAAGTGTTTTCAAGATCTGACCATTTGTCGACGCACCAAAGGACCCACACAGGCGAGAAGCCTTACAAGTGTCCGCAGTGTCCCTACGCGGCTTGCAGGCGCGACATGATCACGAGACACATGAGGACCCACGCCCGATACGAACCGGACCCCATTGCGGCACAGCCTGTCAAGACTGAGCATCACTGAAATTGGAATATCCATCCACGTCATCGCCGTATTTATTTTCGAAAGAGTATAGTGTTATTTATTGTGTTAGTTTCGATGTTGACCTTTAAATTCGACTAAGAGTCTTATGTGTGTACCAAAAATACTGAGACGGAACAAAATTAACATTTTATTTATTTTCTATTAACCTACGGTCAATTATTTGTTAAGTGATTTTTGAAACAAACGAATTGTTATCATCTAGTCGTTGCTTACGGCCCGAAAGTATTTTTGGTCTTATTATGCCATTGTTTGCCCCCCTTTAAAAGAGATCTCATTCCATTCCACTTTGTGCGCAAATTGCCAGGCCAGTTTTTCTCAAACGACTAACAGCGATCATTATTATTATCGTGCCAAATGAAATGGCCAGTGGCAATGTTTGATGCCAGAAGTCACTCGTTTTTTATACACTTGTTCAGTTTTGTTTGTTAAATATTCTTACGACATTGTACCTCGAATTTATCAGAGGAACCCTAAAACAATCATGTTTGTACTTTAATGAATTGTTACTATAAGAATTAACAATTGTAAAAGACATGAAGTCAGTAACTCATAAAGACATGATATTGGATAAAACGTTTGCTATAGCCTTCGTCAAGTTTGTTATACATTGAAAATTATAAATTTGGCGAAATCGAGGAGTAACTTCTGTAGTGAACGATATACGAATACTGTGATATTTGTACATTTCGTTATAACTTACTTCTGTGAGACTAGTTTGTAAATTTATGTTCTCTATTTTTGATATTAAATTTTAGATATATCACGATATTTGACTGTTAAATTGTCTTTAGCTGTACTTCATGATCAGATATTTTTTTCACTGGGCATTATTAAAATAGCTAAAATATTTTTATACGATATGCCGCCAAAATTGTAAAACAATGAATATGTGGCAAGTTTATATTGATAGGCACGCACATTTACATATGTAAATATATGTCTCTAGTTGTGCCACTAAAATTGTTACCTGTTCAAAAATGTTGTGAGATTTACTTAATGTGCCACAGTTTTGTTGTATATGTTAATGTTAAATGTACGTTTAATTTTTTACTGGACTATTATTTAATTTAATTTATTTAAGTGTTCATTTGTTAACAACAAAAAATAATTGGTTGTAAACCTTCCTTATATTAATTTATGTATATTTATTTTCGTTTTAAAAGTGATGTAACTTATGTTAATGCATGTACAAAGACATAGCTACTTAATTTAATTTGTTACTTTTCTATTTAATTTTTTCTTAATTCAAAGATTCTGTGAATCTATTTTTATAATTTTCTGTTATTATCAAAAAATAATAAATTGGTCTGAATTTATTTCATTTTATTTTTATTTCATTTTTATTCGTCCTGTATCCATTAAAGAATAAGCGATGATATCTTTTATGAATGTTAAATTTGGTGTTATATCCGAACCACTTGAATGTATATAACCTCTGATTTTCTTGAAACATTGTATAGTACAGTTCTATTAACAAAACAACGGTAACCGTCATTATTATGTGCCTTTGTGTAGACAAATGTATACCCGCTTGTAGGCCTAACCTTTGCTGTTAAAATTTTTCACATACCCAAATAAATTTTTATACAAGGTTTTCCCAATTTTATTAACTACAATAAAACATTCTTAAAAATGCCACGTGTTTTAAGAAAAAACCTTATTATATCCAACAAAATACAGGAGATCTAGATTTGTAAATTATATAGTAGCGAATCATAAGATATGTATGACCTAGTTATACTAAAAACGGATCAGATCGTTACGCATTCGATTCATTTAATTTTCGACGATGTGAAACTTCATTTATAGTCCAATTAAACGCAATTTTGGTCAATTTGCCTGAATTTTTGATATAAGTTAGTTTGAGGAATATACTTATTGTTATAAGCGACAGTAATTTTGTTTCATTCCCCGGGGTTTTTCAAGATAACTTAAAAGGGGTAATAATAATAATAATAATAA